TCCTGAGGCATGGTGAATCCCCTTTGCTAGAAATCTTTGTTTGCATAGCATTCCAGGACAGAATAACAAACAAAACAAAACCAAAAAACTGGGAAAGGACATGAATCTAAAATTTACAGAAGAATAAATACAAATAATGGAGGATAACTATGGATAAAATATATGAAAACTAGAAAAAGGTGAAATGCCATTTTCCGCTATCAAATTAGCAAATTACAGAGGCTAATGGTGAGAACTCAATCATATATAACCTGAGGAAGATCCAGGCAATGCAGAGCATGAATCTTAAGTGCCCATTCTCTTTGATTCAGTCATTCTAGGATTCTATCCTAAAGAAATAACCAGAAATATGAACAAAGATTTATGTACAAAAATTATTGTTGCCGCTATTTTTTTTAAGGGGTAAAACTTGGGAACATTCTAAAAGCCCAACAGTCAAATATGTTGCTAGATATCTTGAGCCGTAACACATTAGGTTTGTGGACAATTTTAATAACTTGAAAAAAATCTAATCTAAGATTAACACAAATTGAAAAGTTCATATAGAAAATTACATAAACTATTTTATCAATTACTTAATATACTATACATGTAAATAGTATGAATGGAAGGAAATATAAAAAAAGGTCAACTGATTATTTCTGGGAGGTGGAATTGTGAGCTTTTATTTTGTTATTTATGTTGCATTTTTCTGTGTTTTCTAATGTTTCACAGTACACAATCCTTAAAGAAACAATTAAGGTAGAAGAGAAACTGTAAGTTGAACACTTTATGTTGTCAAGAGTATAATTATTGGAGCAGAAAATAAGAAATTAAAATAACCATCATAAATCAATTAAGGAGGGAAAAGAATTTGTTAGTAATGTTAAGGAAAAAAATAGTAATTTTTAAAAACCCTAGTAGAAGCACTATGTAGGAAGAATGTAGTAGTTGAAGTAAAAACCAAAAAAGAAGGAATAAATAGCAGAATGAATACAGCTGGAAAATATATTGGGCTTGAATATCTGATTGAGGATGTCTCCTAAAAACAGTTGGAAATGAAAGGACAGAATTGTGGTTCATGAAATCCATTTAGTGGATGGCAGTCAGCTGTGAGAGAATGGGATGGGATGGATGGGATGAGATGGGATGGATGGGACAAGACAGAATAGACTAAAAAAAAAAATAGAGTAGATTAAAATAGACTAGACTAGACTCCATCAGCATATGACACACAATAGCTAAGAATAGTTTGTAAAACATTTACTCCAGTTGTTTTCCTATTCTTATCATTTGTGTTTATGTGTGTGTGTGTGTGCTGAGTTGCTTTGTAGAATTAACCCCTCAGTGTGTGTCACAATAAGAAATGTTTGAAAGTTACCATTTGAAAAGAACATATTATACTCTCTCCATTCACCTTCTCTGGGACTTTGCTCACTTATTACCATCTTTCTCTCAACTCTCCTCTCAGCTTACCAAGTTCCAACCCTTAGATCTAAAAATAAAAGTCACTCCTGTGCCAGTGCAAACTAGCACCCTCTCTCCCCTTCCTTTCATCACCTGTTTCCAAAAGGCCGGTTCATCCAGACTTTTTGTTTCCATGTGTCAGCTCTCACCCACTCCTCCAATCCTCACAGTGTCGTTCTGACCCCCAACACCAGAATTACATTCATCAGTGCGTGATGGAAAATCTGGCCATGGCCATACAAATTTTGGAAAATCCAAGTCCAGTGAAGAAAGTAGTTACCTTTACGATAGGACTTTGGAGATTTTAGGTTTGTAATGTGCATTGTGACTCTTTCAGAGTGATGCAGATACAATGAAATATCTTCCAAGTTTATTTTACCATAGAACACCAGTTTGAGAAATGGTGAGATATTAAAATAACGTGATAGAGTTAGTAATGACTTTCTAAGTGATAATTCTTTTCATCCATTTACCTAATATTCATTGAGCATCTGCTATGGGCAGATCTGTTCTAGGCACTTGGGATATATTAGTAAACATTGGGACAAAGATCACCACCCTAAATACCAGATGGTCTCACTCATAGCAGGAATTTAGAAAACCTAAATAAGGGACCAGAAAAAAGACTAATTATAATAAAGTAAAAATCAACAAGCAACTATAAACCAGAGACACGCTAGGGCGGGGCAGGGAGAAGGGAGTAGGATCAAAACAAGGGGATGGGAATTGTATGGGGACTCTAACCAAGATGAAGATGGCTATAACCAATGTTTGACTATAACCAAAACATTGTGCAAAAATGAAAAATGATGTAAAAAATATAAAATAAAATTTAAAAAAAACACAAAAACAACAATGCAAAAATAAATAAATACATTTGAAAACGAAAAAAACAAAGATCACTGCCCTAAGGATGTGGTATTTAGCACGAGAGAGACCATAACATATCATTCAAAAAAAAAGAATGGATTAATTAATTATTTACTTCTATATTGTGTTAGAAGATAACAAATGCTGTAGGGAAACTTTATAGAGGGGCAAGAAGATTGAGAGCGGTAGGGGTACAGTGTGGAAGGGACAGGTAAGTTTCAATTTTAAATAGTGAGCAAAAACTGGTATCATGATATAACTGGAAATTTGGAGAGGAGAAATACAAGCATAAGAATAATTAGGGCAAAGGCCCCGCGGCAGGAGCATGCGTGTCAAATTCCACAAGTGGTAAATATGCCACAGTAGCCTAGTTGGGTGAGCAAGAGGAGAATGGTCCAGAACTGTTGAGTAAGAGTTGACATTAAAGGAATATAGGATGAGAGGAAATGACATTTTTTACAAATTAATAAAAAATGAGCAAACATTTTTAAAGGCTAAATAATATATTGCATGTATATGCTGCACTTTGGTTCTCCATTCTTCTGTCAATGACATGGATGGAGTGCTTTCACTTTTTTTGGCTATTGTGAATGCTGCTGCAGTCAACATGAGTAGTCAAATATCTTTGAGTCTCTGTTTTCAATTCTTTTGGAAATACACCCAGAAGAATTGTTATATTATGCAATGATTTTATTTGGCATTTCCTGAGGAATTGCCATACTATAGTGTGGAGCCACCATTTTATATTCCAGGCAACAATGCACAAAGTTTTCAATTTTCTTTCATACTAGCCCATACTTGTTATTTTCTTTTTGCCTTTATAGTTGCCATCCTGATGAGTATAAAACCACTCTGAACAGCAGTAATGGACTTGGAAATCATCCCTCTTGTCTCCCGCACATTATGTATCAGTGTGAATAAACAGATGCTTGAAAAGAGAAAATAATACCCAAGAAGTTTTGTGAGAACTTTCCAGGGTATTCAAGAAAAGACTTATAAAGACTCTCTCTCTCTCTCTCTCTCTCTCTCTCTCTCTCTCTCCCCCCCCCCCTCACTCTCCCCTCTCTCCCCCCTCGCCCCCCTCTCTCCTCCCCTCTCCTCTTCTCTCCCCCTCTCTCCCAAGCTGATCATTACCACAGTCCACCACTTAGGGGCAATGTTTCCAAAATAAGGCTGAGTATGAGGATCACAGCCCTCCATTCCTTAGCAGAGCAGGAAAGGACAGAGAGGAATGTAAAAGGGCCAGGGACATTTAACAGTGATGGATACATTCACTATCTTTGTTATGGTACAGTATGATGTGCCATACATACATCAACACTTATTAAATTGTACAATTTAAATATCTGCAGTGTACTATATGTCAATTATTCCTCAAAAACACTGTTAAAATTCCTTCAACCCAGACAAATATAGGAATTTCTCAAAATGAATTTTGTTAAAATGAAAGGCAAAGCAAAAAAAAAAATTTAAAAATGGGAGCAATTTAGGAAATAATTCGGCAGGTTTATAGATGACAATTTTCTTGTGATTGAGTAGCTGTGGCCACACATGTCTGTGTCTGCTTTCCTGACCCTGCTCATGAGGGATTTGGACACTAAACTTGTGGGGAGTAAGGCTGCTCAATACAGTTTTATTATTATTATTATTTGTTTGTTTGCTTGGTTTATACAAGCACTGGGTACAATCAGAAGCGCGGGAGGGTGAGAGAATTCACCAGAGCCAGAGCGGGGAGCAGAGCAGGCAGAAGGACCGAAGTACACTGCTGAGGGGAGCAGTGGGTGGCAGGAGAGGTCTGCGCGCCATGTGGGACCCTCCTCCGGTGGCCGGGGAGCAGCCGGGGATCGAACCTGCGCCGCGGCAGCCTCGCAACCCAGCGCTCAACCGCTGCGCCACCGGGGAGGCCCTGCTCAATCCAGTTTTGCAGAAATTTTAGGTCCTGCTGCTGTCTCCTTTCCAGTTCCTTCTTCTGGAAGACAGGTTGGTATGGTCACTTTTTTCATTGAACTCTGTGCCCCCAATGAGGAGACTCTTAACAGGACTCCAGGACTCTTCTCTGCTCTAGCAAACTACACTAACCTTGCTTACAAACTCAGCCACCTAGGAAGTTTTTCTGAAAATGCTACCCATACCTCAGAGTCACCTAATATTCTCAGCATCTAACCCAGCGCTAACGTGAATTAAAATTAAAACTGGATGCTTCGGGCCTCCCCGGTGGCGCAGCCGTTGAGCGCTGGGTTGCGAAGCTGCCCGCAGCCTCTGCAGCGCCGGTTCGATCCCCGGCCACCAGGTGAGGGTTCCATATGGCGCACAGACTTCTCCTGCCGCGCCTGCTGCTCCCCTCAGCAGTGTACTTCGTCAGTCTGCCTGCTCTGCTCTCTGCTCTGACTCTGGTGAATTCTCTCACCCTCCCGTGCTTTGACTGTACCCAATGCTTGTATAAATAAATAAATAAATCTAAAAAAAAATAGCCCCTCTTTATGAAATCTACCATTAACTACATGTTCAACTCTCCAATTTTTCTTATTGCTTCTCTGGAGGGAGTATATGTAATCACTAACGTAACTATTGTAATCTATGCTCCAAAGTGGTTAACCTAAATCACTTAGAAATGTCCTTAGAATTGGAAAGGAAACTAGTAGTTATTAAGGATCTACTATTGGCAGACACGGTGCTAGCTTTTTCCACATTCTTATTTATTCCATCCAATACCTTGGTGCTTTCCCCTTTTTACAGATGAGGTATCAGTTCCCTCTAGTAGAGTTGAGGTAACTTCTTCCATAGACAATCTTCTACCAGACAATCTTCTACATTAGACTTTCAGAAGGTTCCTGGGCAGAGCAGTGGTGAGAAAATAGGAAAATCAAAAGATACCAGTCAGCTACTTTGAATGAAGAGCTCTGGTTCAGCACCATTGTTGGGTCTATCCTCGAATTTGTCACAAATTAGTTGCGCGGTCTTGGAACTTCTTCTATCACATCACCAGCCTTCACTATCAAATGAGGGAGGTAGGTATAGATATTCTTTATCTTTTGCTTGAAAATTGCACTCAATTTTCTCAACATTGACCTCTACTGAGCATTTTGAACAAATGTGGATACAATCTGTTTTACCAAGGAGGTTATCTGATGACATGTTAGCTAAGTTTTCAAAAGGACAATATTGTCTTGTGGGCAGGTTTTGTGAAAGTGTTCAAAGTCTCCTATTTCATTTTCCCAGTTGGCTTCTCAGTGTTAAGAGAGTGATGTTAAGAAATTCCAAAGCTCTCTCTCTCTTTTTTTTTTTTTTTTTTTAAGGATTTATTTATTTATTTATTTATTTTATACAAGAACCAGGGTACCGGCCAGATGCGTGGAGGGTGAGAGGATTCACCAGAGACTGAGCGGGGAACAGAACAGGCAGACTGATGAAATACACTGCTGAGGGGAACAGTGGGCAAGACAGGAGAGGTCTGCTTGCCATGTGGGACCCTCCCTGGCAGGCTGGCCAGGATCAAACCGGCGCTGCAGAGGGTGCAGACAGCTTCACAGCGCTGCGCTCAACCACCTGCGCCACCAGGGAGGCCCTGAATAGTCAGATTTTTAAAAAATTTATTTATGCATACAAGAGCTGGGGTGTAGGCCAGAGTTGGGGGGTGGTGAGAGGATTCACCAGAGACAAAGTGGGGAGCAGAACAGGTAGATTGACTGAAATACATTGCTGAGGGGAGCAGTGGGCAACACAGGAGAGGTCTGCTATGCCATGTGGGTAGCTCCCTGGCCAGGGATCGAACTCATGCTGCAGTGGCTGCCGATAGCTTGATAATGCTGAGACTTAACCCCTTGCACCACCAAGGAGGCCCTGCATAGTCCCAGATTTTTAGGGTTTGTTTTTGGCTTGGTTTTAATCTGACACTCTAAATTCCACATGAGTGAAACCATTCAGTATTTGTCTTTTTCCTCCTTACTTATTTCACTTAACATAATCCCCTCCAGTTCCATTCATGTTGTTGCAAATGGCAAGAGTTCATCATTTTTATAACTGAATAGTATTTCATTGTGTGCATATACCGCGTCATCTTAGTCTACCCATCTGTCCTTGGGCATTTAGGTTATTTCCATAACTTGGTTATTGTAGTGTTACAATGAAAACAAAAGTGCATCTGTCCCTTTGAATTAGTGTTTTTGCATTGTTCAGTAGATACTTAGGCATGAAATTGCTACATTATGTGGTAGACCATTTTTAATATTTTGAGAAACCTCCACAGTGTTTCTGTCAGGACTGAACCAGTCTACATTCCCATCAAGTGTCCAAGGATTCCTTTTTCTCCACACCCTCACCACGGGTTGTCTCTTTTGTGTAAGGCACTTGATATTACTGTATTCAGTGAGGCTGCTGTGTGCTTTGTTACTCTGATCTTGCAATCTTGATGTCATCAGGGAGATTTTCTTTCAACATTGAACACACTATACACTAGCTCTTTCCCTCATCAAAAAAGTAGCCCCCCCCCACCCCAATAGATTTCACTTGTGAGTTACAACAAAATGGAGGGATACTGTACTGGCATCCAATGAACAACTCCCCAGCCAAGCCCTCCTGTTCTCTCCTAGCATAGGTAGACACTTGCTTCCCTTCTTTCTCATCATATTTCATGCTCTTGATCCACATCTCAGCGAACGAGGGCCAATGTTTCCTTTATATGGCCTGCCTTCCCTCCTGTTATCTTATCCCTACTTGTTAACTTTGACAAAGATTGCAACTGCTGCCCATAAATGACTCTCTCAATTTAATGCTGCCAGTTTCCAGCCAAAAAAAGCTTCACAGATTATAGAAAAACTTAGTCACACCAATAATTTTGGCATTACTCATCTGGAAACTGGAGATTTGCTGTTGCCCAGCATTCAGAGGACTGAAGTCCTTGCTTCTTGCTCTGGCTGATCTCTGGGAGGATGGCTGCAGGATGTTCAAGTAGTTCTCCAACTTCTGAGTGCATCAGAGCTTGTTACAACACACAGATCTGTGTGCCCCACCCTAGAATTGTAGGTTCAGTAGATATTAGCTGCATTCTGAGAATCAGATTTATAAAAAGTTCCCATGAGATGCTGCTGCTGATCCAGGGACCACACTTTGTGAATCACTGGAGTACAGAGTGTCTGGAGGGGGTACCAAACTACCAACCTGGCTTGTTAAATCTAAAATAGCTATTCTCAAATTGTCTCCATATGAGACATACTAGGATCACCTGGGGAGAGGGAACATTTTGGATACCCAGGCTGCATCCCATTATAAATCAGAACTCTTACAAGGTGGGAAAAAGGCATCAGTGTTTTCTTTTTTTAAAGCTTTCCAAATGCTTCCAATTTCAGAAGTAGTGATGTAGAGCGGTTCTCAACTCTGCTTGCAAATTAGAATCTCTCAGGGAGCTTTTAAAATGCATTCCTGACAGGGCCCACCCCAACCCCAACTAATATTATCTATTCAATCAGAATAGCTGAGTGTGTGTGAAGCCTGAGCAGACAGACTATTTTACTTCCTCCCTCCTTCCTTTGCTCCTTCCTCTCTCCCTTCGCTCTTCCCTACCTCAGTTTCTCAGATTTTTCTAAAGTCCAGTCAATGTTGAGGATTACTCACTAATCTGGACTTCAGTGTACTCCTATTATAAACTGGCCTTTATATTCCAGTTAATAACGCCTTATTTTGAACAAGACATTGGGATAATTGTTTTTATTTTTTGAAAACTAGAGGGCACTAGTCTGAATCATCTGGTGGTGTAGGAGCAGGGAATATGTCTTTAGGGCTGATCCCCTAACAACAGGGCCAGACCTTCCCTAAAAATTACCTGAGCAGCACTTCTCAGAGTCATCCCTGGATTTGTAGCAATGGGGTCACCCAGGAGCTTGTGAGAAATGCACATTCTAAGATCCTACACTAGAAATTCTATGTTTCATCAAACTCTCTACATGACTTTGAGTCAGGTTAAAGATGGAGCATCACTAAGCAGAGATAGCAGCGGTGAAATTAAGATCTTGATCTTCCATCTTTAATATTGAATCTATCTCTGTTCCCCCTTTTTTTTTAAAACACACCCTCACCACGCAGAAAGGAAACTACAGCAACAGCAGCAGCATCAAGGCCAGAAGCAACCAGACTTAATCGATTAGACCATGTGATCAGTGTTAGAGGGGACATTCAAACTCTATCATCCCTCTGCTGGGTATGGGGTTCTATCCCTGACCTTCTTGTTTAGCTGTAGGTTTTTTTTTTAAAGATTTATTTATTTATTTATTTATTTATGCATATTAATAAATAAATTTATTTATCTGGGGTACAGGCCAGAGATGCGGGGGGGGGGTGAGAGGATTCGCCAGAGACAGAGTGGGGACAGAACAGGCAGACCGACTGAAATACACTGCTGAGGGGAGCAGTGGGCGAGACAGGAGAAGTCTGTGGTGCCATGTAGGTTTCTCCCTGACTGGCAGGGGATCGAACTAGTGCTGCAGAGGATGCAAATTGCTTCATAGTGCAGTGCTTAACCCCTTGCACCACCAGGGAGGTCCTAGCTGTAGTTTTTTTTGTCCCCTTAACATCGTTCCACAGGTAATCCCCAAATTTTGATAGCTGCAACACTTAGCAGATGCTGTGTCTCACACACAGCAGCATCCCATTATAATACAGTTATTTATGTCTTTCAAGTCATTATTTGCCTGTTTTACATAATCTAACCCCCCCCCCCTACAGTCTTGGTGTAATAGGATGATCCCCAGGGAAAAGGGAGGTTCCAGGTTCCTTGCCCCACCCAAGGAATGATGGCGCCTAGCAGGAAGGAGGAGAAGCTGGAGAGACTGGGGGAAAGAAGAATGGAGAGCAAGGAGACCTGGAGGAGGCACATAGAACAGAGAGATATGTGAGGAAGCTGCACTTGCTTCTCAGCTTTGGACTAGTACCAGGGACTTGGGGAACATGGAAGAAGACACTTGAAACAGACATGGGTGAAGGACCCATGGGGAGGTTAATAATGGCAGTTTTTAATCTTGATTTTGATTCTGTTCCAGACTTGTCTGACAGTTTCTGTCCCTTCCTTATGGGTCCCCATAGGAAAGCCCCAAAGGGCCTTAGACCTATGACAAGCTTTTGGGCCTCAGCGGCCTTGCTTTGGGCCAGACTTGTTAGGCTAAGCCTTTACTATTGAGGGGATGGGTAATTTTAGGTGCTTGATTTGGAAACTATTTTATCTATTCTTTGTCTTTCCTGTCTCTTTATTGTACACTAATTGTATTAAAGTTCTTTTTCATTAAAGGTCTTGCACACTAGAGCATGTTTTGTCTTGAGGCAGTGGATGGCAGAACCTATTTAGAGCAGGGAGGTTTGGGGGTTCTGGAGTGCCCCTCACACTGCCCAATAACATTGGGAGGTAAGCAGATATTATACAATGTATACATATAGTCTTGAAGGGAAAGTCTAAGAGTCCTGGGGCAGTTCTCCATCATATTTGATGGCCTACCAAGTAAGCCAAATCTTTCCGTTTAAGGAGGTACTAATATACTTTCCATCCTACAAGAATATATGTCTAGAAGGTCATCATATCTCTCCCCAATCCTTTCTTCATACTTTTATTCCAAAACATGAAGTTGGGGAGAAGAAGAAAGATAGGACAAGACTGAGGTAAGGATCTAGGCGGAGACAAGGAAGTGGAACAGGGGAGAAATGGGCTTCTCTGGGACCAGAGCTCTGGGGGCTGTGGCTGTCAAGGATTCCTGTTAACATAGGTCCCAAAGGCTCTCCAACCAGATTCCCACTCACTCCTACGCACTAACTTCCCTTTCCACTACCACTTTAGTAGCTTCTGAATAAA